TCTTTACCAATACCCTATTAATAATAGTTTTATGACATGCAAACTATGGTTTTTACCAATACACTATAGTTCTATGAAAACTATAGTTCTTTACCAATACACTATAATTTTATAAAAACTATAGTTCTTTACCAATACACTATAGTTTTATGAGAACTATAGTTCTTTTCCAATACACTATAAATTTATGAAAACTATGGTTTTTACCAATATACAATATATTTATATGAGAACTATAGTTCTGTACCAGTTAACTATTATAGTTTTCATAACTAAAGGACTATATATAGTTTTATGAAAACTATAGTTTTTACCAATACACCATAGTTCTATGAAAACTATAGTTTTGTTATAGTTTTTAAAAAATACACTTTAGTTTCCCCAATACACCATAGTTCTATGAAAACTATAGTTTTGTTATAGTTTTTTAAAAATACACTTTAGTTTCCATAATTACAAAATAGTGCCTGTGGCCCTGTGGACAAGCCAGCCCAACAATTTGGTCGTGCCATGCAAATTTCAAATAAATATCATATATTAATTTCTTTAGAAATTTATTGTTTTCACGGAAATATTTACGTACAGCACGAACAAATTGTCGGGCTGACTTCACCACTATATTCTATATAGAGGATCACCCATAATCCAGTTACCTCGCTGTAAAAACTGATTGGTTGAAACAACCACTTTTTTAGGTCGCAATTAAATTTGTTTTTTTTGACATTTAATTAATATTAATTGGTTAAAATATTATATTTATTTAACTGGTCAAAATTTCAAAGTTTGAGTTAATTTTAAATTCTGCATGAGTTCATGGAAACTATATTTACCAAAGTTTATAGTGTTTGTGGAGGTAGGTGTTTTGGTACATGAGCACACAGGAGAGAAACAAATTAGGGAGGAAGGAACTTTTCCTGATTTTCTCTGACTATAATGAATTTTTTTTGTTAATGGGGTGGGGGGGGGGGACGAAAAAACATTTCCTATTATGTTAAAATTCCTCATTACTTTTACATAATTATTTTATTTTCAACTACAATATTGCATATGCCTTCTTTTTAAAGTTATTTCCCCCAATCTTGACCTACTTACGTTTATAATTTGGCACAAATGAATTAAATTCCCACGATGAGCGCGGTTTGACAGCCTGGTGCCTAATTTTCCTACAATATGCGCAAAGCTTCCTGGGATAGCGTCATTCAATCAGACCACAGAATAGAAAATAAGACCAGAAGCCTCACTCAGCCAAAATTGTGTCCGAGATTTTTTATGCGCAGGCGCGAGCCAGCAAGTGTAATCCACGCCATCAAACGCGAGCAATTACGCCATCAATTGCCATTACCAGGTAATAAAGATTGCTGTTTTAACCGTTTTGCTGACGAACGCTGACGTAATGTTCGCAGCAAGTGTCACACACGTCATCTAGCGTGCGAAATTCGTGATCCGCAAGGCGAAAATCGCGGACACGAAAATGTTAAGGAAAGGTGTACAGTGAGATTTCTGGTCGATTATATATTCTATGATCAGACCGCCATATTTTTGAAATTTTCATTTGAGTTAATTTATCAGCGTGAAAGAGGAATATTTTAAATGAAAATAACGTATTTTAACGAAGATGGAATACCAGGAATGACTGAGTAACGTACAGGTAAGAATATTGTTATGTTCTCTATGTAATAGAGCAATTTTGAAACGAAATATTTACCATCATCATTCCTGAATTTTGAGCATGTGACCTAGCTTAAATATATTTGAATTTGCCGCGACAATATTTGCATTATTACGATAACATTTGACACAGTTGTAATGCCAAATAGTATGGCTGTGTATATGACAGATTGTATTAATTTAAACAGTGAACCTTGTATAGAATAATGTAGCTTAATTGGCATCTACTCAATCCTCATCATATGCCTACATAGGCATGCCTCAGCTAAACATGGTTTGAGAGAATTTATTGACATATATCAACTGCTATTTTCATACGTTTCTAATATTTATTCATATATATAACAGTGGTGTAACTTCACTATTTTTACCACTTGCCAACTCTCACTCTCAGGGCAAGTTGGACAGGAAAATTAGTTGCCTTGAATATAAAAATTCACTTGCCATGGGACAATGGCCACTGGGATACCCAGGTGGAGGATATAAATTAAGGGGACAACATGTTGATTCGTCAATATGGCTATATGTTATACTGCCTCGATCAGATCCTAGCTTTGGCCCACAAAAAAACAAAATTCGAATCAAGTACATGCACTATATAAAAAATGTATCTGACAATGAAAAAATGCCTGGCCAGCAGCTTTTTGTGGCATGGCAACTAGCTCAATCGGACAAGCAAGATAAAACGTTTACTTGCCCGTCATGATATTTATTTGCCCCGAGGAAGTGTTAAGTGAAACCTCTGTATAAGTGGGTCCGCTTAGATTAAAACGTCAATATGATGTGTTGTGTGGCAACTTGATTCATGGATGTGTATTGAAGACAGTTAAAGTCCTTAGTTTGTTTTTCAAACTTATGAGTATATTTATATAGTTACACCACTTGCATGATCTGCTTAATAATATATGTAACAACTTTGGGCTACATTTTATATATTTTACAGACACCTCGGCAAGGGTGTTGAGCATGTTTTTTTTAATTATACCCATGAGCCCACAGAAAAACAAAATTTGAATCAAGTACATGCACTATAAAAAATGTATCTGACAATGAAAACATGCCTGGCAGCTTTTTGTGGCATGGCAACTAGCTCAATCGGACAAGCAAGATAAAACGTTTACTTGCCCGTCATGATATTTATTTGCCCCGAGGAAGTAAGTGAAACCTCTGTATAAGTGGGTCCGCTTAGATTAAAACGTCAATATGATGTGTTGTGTGGCAACTTGATTCATGGATGTGTACTGAAGACAGTTAAAGTCCTTAGTTTGCTTGTTCAAACTTATGAGTATATTTAGTTACACCACCTGCATGATCTGCTTAATAATATATGTAACAACTTTGGGCTACATTTTATATATTTTACAGACACCTCGGCAAGGGTGTTGAGCATGTTTTTTTTTAATTATACCCATGAGCCAATTTTCAGCAGTTTGTTAAATGTTATCTTCTCTAATGCCGGACAATTTTATTTGTCAAGGGAAGTGTCTAGCTAGACTGCCCATGTTTCATGTTGACATATTTAGATGCAATTTTCCCTAACACTACCTACTTAACTATTTTGATATATTTAACTTTGATGTACTGTATATCTCGCACAAGACAATTTTACTGATCGACTGTGGACTGCTTGCCCAAGTATCACCTATTTGTACCTAAGGAAGGAGTAATTATACAAGATATGTCAAACTGGATAGTTATATCCATAGGGGTTATAAAAGTCAAGTCAATATTCTCTTGCCTTTTATTGATATACAATATATTTTCCCACAACACAGCACTATATGTGCATCAATGTAGGATTTACAATTTTACATCAATGTTGGAATTGATTATATTATATTATATTATATTATATTATATTAGCCAAGTGAACATTATTTTGCATGACCCCTGTTTGATTTTAAAATAGGTTTAATTCTTCCTGCTTGGATTCAACAAGTGTTCTAGTACTGTTGGCTTAATCTTATTCCAGCATTGATTAATAAAGACATCCCACAGGTTGTCTTCACTGTGGAGATCATGTTTCAGTTTCTCTCATTGCAAATGATCCCATAAATTCTCAATAGGATTTAGGTCCTGAGATTAGGGGTGCACCAGAACCAATTTCTGAAAACTGGAAAAAAGTTCTGGCTGGAACCAGAACTGATTTATTAAGCCATATATAGTCATACGTTACTTTGTCTGCTGCCAGACAGTCAGATACTTCAAGTCATCAAGGAGAGTGTGTGCAAATGGAATAAAAAGATTGAAAAATGTTCCTTGTGTAGTCCAATTAAATTTCTTCCTACTGTGAACTTTTGTTAGACACAAAAACGTTTGATATTCTATCTCTCTGAAAATAACAGAGTTCCGGTGCAGGTTCCGGCCGGAACAGGATCTTTGAAAAATCGGGGTTCTGGCCGGAACCGAGTTCTGGTGGACCCCAACCTGAGATTGAGGAGGAAAATCCATAACAACCAGATCACCCTTCTCTTGCTTCCTTCTTATTCAAGTTTTACACATGTGAAAATCTCCTCCCACTCAACCTAAAACCTTAATATGGTATGGTTTGGTTTGTCTTCAAAGGATGGAGTGACATTTTTGTTTCGTAAAAATTATTTAATAATAATTAGGGAGCAAAAGGAAAGCAATTTTCCCTAACACTCCCTACCTTAAGTACTCTGATATTTAACTCTGATGTATATATGTTTCCCAAGAGACATTTTTACTTATCGACTGTGGACTGTTTGCCCAAGTATCACCTATTAATACTCAAGGAGTAATTGCACAATATATGTTGTGTAGTTATATCCTATACCTGTCACGTTTTAGGAAGAGTTACTATTTTTAGAATTTGTAATTTTGTATTTAAAACTTAACCCCAATCCTAACTCTTACTCCAAGCCAAACCCTAATCTTAATCATAACCCTAATCCTAAACCTTTCCCTAATCCAAACCATAATCCTAACCCTAACCCTAAAAGTCTAAAAATAGTAACTGTTACTAAATCATGAAGTCATATGTATTAAATTTAAATTTCACACAACGACAACAACGATCTAATACTTGTGATCACTATAACATATATCGACAACAATAGTATAATCTAATTAGCACCAACCAAGCAAATGACAGATTAAAAAATCTGTTGTCGCATAGATCAATCAGATTTCCAACCGAAATACGGTTGTACGGCATGGACCTTTGTTAATTAAGGTTTGTATCAAGCATGTTTATTTATTTATAGGCCTGATCGTAGGTTAGACCTCTTAGTTACCCCACCTACTGTAGATACACTGTACTAATGTGAAACTGTATCAACTTACATGAAAATTTGTCCATTGTTTTCCAGAACGTGTAATGGGTGTTAACAATACAACAATATGAGCTGTCCTGTTTACAAAGAAGACATTATAAAAGCAATAAAATTCAAGCTGGACAACAAAGAGTAGGGAAGGAAGAGCAATAAATTGAACAAGAAACTGAGATTAGTTGACATACATTGTTTTTATATGGTTACTAATTCAAAAAACTGATTATATTTAGTATTATTTGTTCATTTATTTAATATATATTTATTAAGTTCTTTGTATGATTGTATGGCGATAAAATATATAACACTTTTTGTTTGTGGAAACACCACGTAAATTTATTACTGCAAAGCTTTCGATCCATAAGCCCAGATCGAAAGAAGATCGAATGCTTTGCAGTTAATAAATTTACGTGGTGTTTCCACAAACCAAAAGTGTTATATATAGTTTATTATTATGCAAATAGCTTATTATATTTATTATATTAATAAAATAATGTTATCAGATGAACAAATTTCATGTGCGAGGTGGTGATGTGCTGCATGCATGCATGGTATGCTAAAGTATTTCTTTAAGAAACTATTATAATAGTTTTTCAACTAAAATACAGTAGTCAGTATAATTTTTTCCAACTATAGTTTTTAGTCAAAACTAAAGTTTTTGACAAAACTATAGTTTTAACCAAAACTATAGTTCCTACAATTACTATAGTTTTTAATTACTATAGTTTCCATAACTACAGTTTTTGTTCCAAAATACTATAGTTTTTAGCCAAAACTATAGCTTTTAGCCAAAACTATAGTTTTTAGCCAAAACTATAGTTTTTAGCCAAAACTATAGTTTTTAGCCAAAACTATAGTTCCTACAAGAACTATAGTTTTTGATACTATAGTTTCCATAACTATAGTTTTTGTTCCAAAATACTATAGTTTTTAAAACTATAGTTTTTGGCTTGAAAAACTATAGTTTATTTTTGTAAGGGAGTACTTATACTAGCCAGATTGGAATGTAAATCTAATCTCAACAGTTCTTATACTAGCCAGATTGGAATTTAATTCTAATTTCAGCAGTTCTTATACGAGCCAGATTGGAATGTAATTCTAATCTCAACAGTCTTAATACAATGAGCCTGATTGGAATGTAAATCTAATCTGAGTAGTTCCTTAAACGATAGCCAGATTGGAATTTGATTATAAACTCAACAGTTCTTATACTAGCCACATTGTAATTTAATTCCAATATCAGCAGTTCTTATACCAGCCTGATTGGAATTTGATTCTAATCTCAACAGTTATAATTCTTATACAAGCCAGATTCGAATTTAATTCTAACCTCAGTAGTTCTTATACTAGCCAGATTGGAATGTAATTCTAATCCGAACAGTTTTAATATTAACCAAATTGGAATGTAAATCTAATCTCAGTAGTTCTTATACTACGCAGATTGGAATTTCATTATAATCTCAACAGTTCTTATACTAGCCAGATTAGAATAGAATTTAAGTCTATTCTCAGTAGTTCATATACCAGCCAGATTCCAATTTGATTCTAATCTCAACAGTTCTAATACCCTACCCAGATTGGAATTTGATTCTAATCTCAACAGGTAGAATTCCTATACTAGCCAGATTGGGATTTAATTTTAATCTCAGAAGTTCTTATACTAGCCTGATTGGAATGTAATTGTAATTTCAACAGTTTTTTCCATCAGATTGGAATGTAAATTTAATATCAGTAGTTCTTTTACTATATATAGACAGATCGGAATTTGATTATAAACTCAACAGTTCTTATACTACGCACATTGGAATTTAATTCCAATATCAGTAGTTCTTATACTAGCCAGATTGCAATTTGATTATAATCTCAGTAATTCTTAATCTACCAAGATTAGAATTTGATAATAATCTCAACAGTTCTTACACTTGCCAGATTGGAATGTAAATCTAATCTCAGTAGTTCTTATGTTATTACTAGCCGGATTGCAATTTGATTCTAATCTCAACAGTTCTAATATCCTAACCAGATTGAAATTTGATTCTAATCTCAACAGTACTTATACTAGCCAGATTGGAGTGTAAATATAATCTCAGTAGTACGTTTACCAGCCAATTGGGAATGTAAATGTAATCTCAACAGTTCTTATACCAAACTGATTGGAATTTAATTCTAATCTCAGCAGTTTTTATACTAGCCAGATTGGAATGTACTTCTAATCTCAACAGTTTTAATACAATGAGCCTGATTGGAATGTAAATCTAATCTCAGTAGTTCCTATACTATCCAGATTGGAATTTGATTATAATCTCAACAGTTCTTATACTAGCCAGATTAGAATAGAATTTAGTTCTAATCTCAGCAGTTCTTAATCTACCCAGATTGGAATTTGATTCTAATCTCAACAGTTAAAATTCTTATACTAGCCAGATTAGAATTTAGTTCTAATCTAGGTAGTCCTTATACTAGCCTGATTGGAATTTAATTCTAATCTCAACAGTGTTAATATTAGGCATCAGATTGGAATGTAAATTTAATATCAGCAGTTCTTATACTATAGGCAGATCGGAATTTGATTATAAACTCAACAGTTCTTATACTAGCCAGATTGGAATTTGATTATAATCTCAACTGTTTTTATACTAGCCAGATTAGAATAGAAGTTAATTCTAATCTCAGTAGTTCTTATATTATTACTAGCCAGATTGCAATTTGATTCTAATTTCAACAGTTCTAATATCCTAACCAGATTGAAATTTGATTCTAATCTCAACAGTACTTATACTAGCCAGATTGGAATGTAAATCTAATCTCAACAGTTCTTATACTAGCCAGATTGGAATTTAATTCTAATTTCACGATCAGCAGTTCTTATACGAGCCAGATTGGAATGTAATATTAATCTCAACAGTTTTAATACAACGAGCCTGATTGGAATGTAAATCTAATCTGAGTAGTTCCTTATACTATAGCCAGATTGGAATTTGATTATAAACTCAACAGTTCTTATAGTAGCCACATTGTAATTTAATTCCAATATCAGTAGTTCTTATTCCAGCCTGATTGGAATTTGATTCTAATCTCAACAGTTATAATTCTTATACAAGCCAGATTCGAATTTAATTCTAATCTCAGTAGTTCTTATACTAGCCAGATTGGAATGTAATTCTAATCCGAACAGTTTTAATATTAACCAAATTGGAATGTAAATCTAATCTCAGTAGTTCTTATACTACGCAGATTGGAATTTCATTATAATCTCAACAGTTCTTATACTAGCCAGATTAGAATAGAATTTAAGTCTAATCTCAGTAGTTCATATACCAGCCAGATTCCAATTTGATTCTAATCTCACCAGTTCTAATATCCTACCCAGATTGGAATTTGATTCTAATCTCAACAGTTCTTATACTAGGCAGATTGGAATGTAAATATAATCTCAGTAGGTCTTATGCCAGCCAGATTGGAATGTAAATCTAATCTTAACAGTTCTTATACTAGCCAGATTGGAATTCAATTCCAATCGCAGTAGTTCTTATTCTAGCCAGACTGGATTCTAAATGTAATCTCAACAGTTTTAATACAATAAGCCACATTGGAATGTAAATTTAATCTCAGTAGTTTCTGTACTAGCCAGATTGGAAGTTGAATCTAATCTCAGTAGTTCTTATACTACCCAGACTGGAATTTGATAAAAACCTGAACAGTTCTTATATTACCAGATTGGAATGTAATCTAATCGCTGTAGTTCTTATACTACCCAGATTGGTATTTGATTTTAGTCTCAACAGTTCTTTTACTAGCCAGATTGGAATGTAATTCTAATTTCAATAGTTCTTATACCAGCCAGGTTGGAATTTGATTCTAATCTCAACAGTTAGAATTCTTATACTAGCCAGATTGGGATTTAATTGTTATCTCAGAAGTTCTTATACTAGCCTAATTGGAATGTAATTGTAATTTCAACAGTTTTAATATTAGCCATCAGATTGGAATGTAAATTTAATATCAGTAGTTCTTTTACTATAGTCAGATTGGAATTTGATTATAAACTCAACAGTTCTTATACTAGCCAGATTGGAATTTGATTATAATTTCAACAGTTCTTATACTAGCCAGATTAGAAAAGAATTTAACTCTAATCTCATTAGTTCTTATGTTATTACTAGCCAGATTGCAATTTGATTCTAATCTCAACGGTTCTAATATCCTAACCAGATTGAAATTTGATTCTAATTTCAACAGTACTTATACTAGCCAGATTGGAGTGTAAATATAATCTCAGTAGTACGTTTACGAGCCAGATTGGAATGTAAATCTAATCTCAACTGTTCTTATACCAAACTGATTGGAATTTAATTCTAATCTCAGCAGTTCTTATACTAGCCAGATTGGAATGTACTTCTAATCTCAACAGTTTTAATACAATGAGCCTAATTGGAATGTAAATCTAATCACAGTAGTTCTTATACTATAGCCAGATTGGAATTTGATTATAAACTCAATGGTTCTTTTACCTGCCACATTGGTATTTAATTCCAATATCAGTAGTTCTTATACTAGCCTGACTGGAAATTGATTCTAATCTCAACAGTTATAATTCTTATACACGCCAGATTGGAATTTAATTCTAATCTCGGTAGTTCTTATACTAGCCAGATTGGAATGTAATTCTAATCCGAACAGTTTTAAAATTAACCAGATTGGAAAGTAAATCTAATCTCAGTAATTCTTATACTACGCAGATTGGAATTTGATTATAATTTCAACAGTTCTTATGCTAGCCAGATTAGAATAGAGTTTAATTCTTATCTCAGTAGTTCATATACTAGTCAGATTGCAATTTGATTCTAATGTCAACAGTTCTAATATCCTTCCCAGATTGCAATTTTATTCTAATCTCAACAATTCTTATACTATCCAGATCGGGATGTAAATATAGTCTCAGGAGTTCTTATGCCAGCCAGATTGGTATGTAAATCTAATCTCAACAGTTCTTATACTAGCCAGATTGGAATTTAATTCTAATCTCAGAAGTTGTTATACTAGTCAGATTGGAATGTCAATATAATCTCAACAGTTTTAATACAATAAGCCACATTGGAATGTAAATCTAATCTCAGTTGTTCTTATACTAGCCAGATTGGAAGTTGATTCTAACCGCAGTAGTTCTTATACTACCCAGATTGGATTTTGATCCTAATCTCAACAGTTAGAATTCTTATACTAGCCAGATTGGAATTTAATTCTAATCTCAGTAGTTCTTATACTAGCCTGATTGGAATGTAGTTGTAATCTCAACAGTTTTAATATTAGCCATCAGATTGGAATGTAAATTTAATATCAGTAGTTCTTTTACTATAGGCAGTTCGGAATTTCATTATAAACTCAACAGTTCTTATACTAGCCAAACTGAAATTTGATTATAATCTCAACAGTTCTTATACTAGCCAGATTAGAAGAGAATTTAATTCTAATCTCAGTAGTTCTCATATTATTACTAGCAAGATTGCAATTTGATTCTAATTTCAACAGTTCTAATATCCTAACCAGGTTGAAATTTGATTCTAATCTCAACAGTACTTATACTAGCCAGATTGGAATGTAAATCTAATCTTAGTAGTACGTTTACCAGCCAGCTAGATTGGAATGTAAATCTAATCTCAACAGTTCTTATACCAAGCAGATTGGAATTTAATTCTAATCTCAGCAGTTCTTATACTAGCCAGATTGGAGTGTAATTCTAATCTCAACAGTTTTAATACAATGAGCCTGATTGGAATGTAAATCTAATCTCAGTAGTTCCTATACTATAGCCAGATTGGAATTTGATTATAAACTCAACAGTTCTTAGAGTAGCCACATTGGAATTTAATTCCAATATCAGTAGTTTTTATACTAGCCTGATTGGAATTTGATTCTAATCTCAACAGTTATAATTCTTATACCCGACAGATTGGAATTTAATTCTAATCTCAGTAGTTCTTATACTAGCCAGATTGGTATGTAATTCTGATCCGAACAGTTTTAATATTAACCAGATTGGAATATAAATCTAATCTCAGTAGTTGTTATACTATGCAGATTGGAATTTGATTATAATATCAACAGTTCTTATACTAGCCAGTTTAGAATAGAATTTAATTCTTATCTCAGTAGTTGATATAGTAGCCAGATTGCAATTTGATTCGAATCTCAAGAGTTCTAATATCCTACCCAGATTGGAATTTGATTCTAATCTCAACAGTTCTTGTACTAGCCAGATCGGGATGTAAATATAATCTCAGGAGTTCTTATGCCAGCCAGATTGGAATGTAAATCTAATCTCAACAGGTCTTATACTAGCCAGATTGGAATTTAATTCTAATCTCAGTAGTTGTTATACTAGCCAGATTGGAATGTAAATGTAATCTCAACAGTTTTAATACAATAAGCCACATTGGAATGTAAATCTAATCTCAGTAGTTCATATACTAGCCAGATTGGAAGTTGATTCTAATCTCAGTATTTCTTATACTACCCAGATTGGATTTGATTATAAGCTGAACAGTTCTTATATTAGCCAGATTGGAATGTAATCTGATCTCAGTAGTTCTTATACTACCCAGATTGGTATTTGATTTTAGTCTCAACAGTTCTTATACTAGCCAGATTGGAATGTAAATCTAATTTCAATAGTTCTTATACCAGCCAGATTGGAATTTGATTCTAATCTCAACAGTTATAATTCCTATACTAGCCAGATTGGAATTTAATTCTAATCTCAGTAGTTCTTACACTAGCCATATTGGAATGTAATTCTAATCGCAACAGTTTTAATATTAGCCAGATTGGAATGTAAATATAATCTGAGTAGTTCTTATACTACCCAGATTGAAATTTGATCATAATCTCAACAGCTCTTATACTAGCCAGATTAGAAAAGAATTTAACTTTAATCTCACTTAAACATGCTATATGCAAATAACTTTTTACGCATTATAAGAAAACCGACAAGAGTTACTGATTATACTAAAACACTAATTGATCAAATATGTAGTAATGCCCCTATTGACCAAATCCTTTCGGGCGTTGGATTAATGATGGGCATATCTGATCACTTACCAATTTTCTGTATTGTAAGTACAGGAATAAAAAGGGTTAAAGCTAAAAATTTATATAGAGATTTTAGTACTTTTAACAATGAGCTATATCTTGAGGATATTGATAGTGTTGGCTGGAATGGTTTAATAGATGAGGATAAATGCTTAAATGAAATAACAAATAGTGTTATAAGTACGCTTAATCAAATTGTAAATCAACAAGCTCCATTTAAAGTAGCTTCGCAAAGTTTAAGGAAACAACTTGACAAACCCTGGATAACTAAGAGAATTCTAAAATCAATAAAAATAAAGCAAAAAATGTTCCATACTCATTTCCATTCTAATGATATTAGCAAAGTAAGTCAATATAAGCTATATGCTAATAAATTAAACTAAATAACAATGCTTAGTAAAAGGCAATATTGTCTGAATAATTTTGATAAACAACATGGAAATTAATAGGAATATTAATAAAAAGGAAAACTAAAAGCCAACCATATCCATCTAAGTAGTTAGAAATGGTAAAGTATATACAGAGGAAATTGATATAGCAAATCAATTTAACCAACACTTTGCAAATGTTGGCCCACATTTGGCTAGTAAAATTGAAAAAGTTAATGAATCCCCAATAAAATATATTCGAAACTGTCCGAGCTCTAGTTTTGTATTATCCCCTGTACGAGCTTCAAAAGTATCTGAATTATTTTCTAATTTAAATACAAACAAGGCTAGCATTAATATTCCCAATACATTAATAAAAATTGTTGCGAAACAACTCTCAATACCTTTCACTTATATATATAATAAATCATTTGAAACAGGTATTGTACCAGACGTTCCAATATCGAGAATTACTCCTATTTATAAAAATGGTACATGCACTGATCCGTTTAATTATAGACCTATATCTATTTTATCACCCTTCAGCAAAATATTAGAAAAGCTTGTGTATGTAACCGAGGCATTTAGTCAAATACAGGCCGAGGCGCGCAGCTTCGAGGCCTGTATTTGACTAAATGCCGAGGTTCGAGGTAATTAACTGACTTATTACATGATTAAGAAGATTTTCACAAAAGAATAATAACAGCATTTAATGTACGTTTATGAAGACAATGGGTATCGTTGTGTTGAAAGAAGACAAATAATCTTAGGCCCGTTTTAAACGTCGAGGCTTTTATGTACCGAATACATTAAAAACGATAGATAATCTGTAAAAGTACCTCATTATCTATTGTTTTTAATGATTTCTGTGCATGAAAAGCTCGGCGTTTAAAACGGGCCTTATTTGTTAGCAAAGTTGGAAAAAGTTTTGCTTTGAATTTGGGTGTAGTTTGTATTGTTCAAATGCCTAAAATTTTGTATAGTTGTATGTAGATTTAGGATTTTATTGTATGTATGATTAGAAGTGAAATTACGTGGAAAGTGCTAGTAGAATTCGCGTAGTGTTATTTGTTTTAGTCAAGTTTAAACAGAATGGCAGATAGCGAGGACGACGAAAGTTTAGCGGGTTTGACGCAGAACACGTTTCTGAAGGCACCTTTAGAGCCTTGTTCGACCTGTTCAGTGGATTATTGGAGGGCGATTGTAATGTTGGTGATGGTAGCAATAATACCTCGAATAATACAATAACATATTCTGATCATGTTTTAACGGCGGAGAAAGAATTAAATGAAGCCTTAAAATGCCGCTACTCTGAAAATAGGCGAAAAATATCGCTAGTTACAGACAAGGAAGTTGAGTTGATTAAGGAAAGTCGAATTCCAAATAACACGAAACACAACACTAGTTGGTCTGTCGGCGTTTGGCAGGATTGGGCAAAAGGAAGAAACGCGAAAGTAATAGAACTAGGCGTTGTCGACAAGCTAGTCATGTCAGATATTTTAAAAGTGCCTAAAGAAGAACTTAACTATTGGTTAGCTAAGTTTGTGGTCGAGGTTCGCAAGAAAGGTGAAAAGGCAGAATTTTATCCGCCTACGACACTTTATCAGATATGTTGTGGGCTATTACGATTTTTGCGAAATAATGGTCGGGCAGCATTGAATATATTTGATGATCCCATGTTTAAGCATTTTCAGGATACTTTAGATGGTGAAATGAAACGACTTACTAGTCTAGGTGTTGGTGCAAATGTCCGACAAGCGCAAGCATTTTCAGAAGAGCAAGAAGAACTTTTGTGGAAATCAAATCTACTGGGCTCCGACTCACCAGTGACATTACTAAATACAATGGTTTTTTTGATCGGCAAGAATTTTTCGCTTCGGAGCGGAAAAGAACATCGTTCATTAAAGTTCAGTCAACTTACACTGGAAGCTGCGACTGGGGATGAACCTGAGAAGCTTATTTACACATCTTTTGGAGAAAAGAATAACTTGGGTGGTCTTAAACATCGTGCCATGAAACGGAAGCGTGTGGAGCATTACGCAAACGATGCGTGTCCTGATCGTTGTATGGTGCATTTATATAAGATGTATGTGGAGAGATGCCCTTCTGAAGCCATAATAAAGGATGTGTTTTACGTTACTCCCAAGCGAAAGTGTCTTGATTCTGATAAAGGTATGTTATGCTACTGATATTTTGAATATCCTTTGCTTAGAATTTAAATTGTTAAATTTTTGTTCTTTTAGTGTGGTTCACGTTAAACCCAGTTGGCCACAATACGTTGGGCAATACGGTGAAACATTTGTGTGAGAAAGCTGGCATTGAAGGGCATTACACGAATCATAGTCTTAGGGCTACTACTGCAACACGTGGTCTTGAAAAAGGGATTGCGGAGAAATATGTCATGGAGAGAACCGGCCATAGAGATGTGAGATCACTTCAGCGATATCAAAGACCGAACGTCCAACAAAAGATTGAGATTTCAAGAGCGTTTGATTTATCGTTGTCTCATGAGGAAACTAATTTGGACTACGCAGAAGTGTCGAATATCAAAAATGTCATTGATTGTAGTAAGAAAGAAGTAGAAATAGATACTTTAAATACTAAAGACAAGGTAAAACGTTGTAAGAATGAGAAGAGTGAAACAACGCGCTCTGCATTTAATAATTGTACTTTTTTTGTGCAGCAGGACTTTTTAGCTTGAGTTCGTTTTAACGTAGTAAAGTGTGTAGTGTAGTTTGTGTGAGATATTGTGTGATTATAGTGTGATGATAAATGTTTGGTATTTAAAGTAATCTGTAAAGTAATTTGACTTTTGTTATTCTGTTGTTGTATCTAGATACGTTCCTGTTAGTAACGATGTATCTAGATATATCCTTTCTAGGAGGGATGTATCTAGATACATCCTTAGTAAGAGGGATGTATGTAGATACAACCCTGAAGATAAATTGAATGCAATTCATCAGCCCCGCTCTTCCCTGCTGAATATCAAATCCCTCCCCGTGCTTTTAGAGCGTAAATCTAATGAACAGGTAATTATGTTAAATACAGTTTTATGAATAACAATGAAAACCGACTCAATCATGTAATAAGGGAAATTTGAAACCGAAGAGACAAGCTAAACAACATACCTTAGATTCATTTTACAATACTTTTATACAATACTCATGCTATATTACTTGTCGATTTGCTTCTTTATCAACATTTTTTAATGATTTTTTTTTTTCTTTTCGTTATTTTTTATGCAGACATCAACGACAAGGAAAATGTGAAGCCGAAGGCTACACCAAAATCCCGAGGTTTACAATTCTCGTATTTCAACTGTATGAACCGTGCATACGCAAAGGATGGTCAACGTACCCCGTGCCACTTCTTTAAAGTGCCATTAGAGAATCATATGAGAACCACCTGGACGAATCGGATAGAAAAGATTTTATGGTTACCAATAGTACCAAAGTGTGCGATAAACACTTCTCATCCGAGGAGATTTTGAATGCTCCTGGTGGCAAACGGTGGCGACTGAAGGATGGTGCTATTCCTTTAAAGGCTAGACAGACACCTACAGTTCCTATGAAAAGCGAAGAAGTGTAGCGACAAGTATGAAGAAAGCGAGACCGGAAAATGTAGTGGAAACAAGAACATATCAACTCAAGTCGTTAATGAGTTCAGCATTAGCTGTTGTCCATGTATTATATAAGGCTATAGTGCGGGAGAATAAAAAGACAAAGTGTGATATGAGGCGTGTTCAGGAGGAATTAGACACTACTAAGGCTAAAATGCGGAAAATAACATTTGGGATGGATGTAATTAAGGAAAATGATGAGTTTTGTCAATATTATTATTATTATTATTATTATTATTATTATTAATGGTTTAAGATACACACCTTCGCAATAGATTGAATTATGGTGCGTTTACAAAACTAGTACGCTATATATATTTACATATATAAAAAATTAAGTTGCATGCATCAAGTCTAAAAATCTTATTGAATTGCATTAAAATCATCGTAATTACGTATCACGCTTAAGTTTCTTTACTATAACTATTATATAAAGCTACTGTACTGGGAAAAGTTCAACCAATCTGGAACACCCATGTTGTGCTAATGCTTCCCTATAAGAGTAACCCGGTAAAATGATCCTCAGCGCTCGTTTTTGCACTCGCTCTAACTCATCGGCGAGGTAAAAAGGTAGGGCATGATGCCATACCACACAGCAGTACTCCAGAACCGATCGTATTAAGGCAAAGTATATACTCAATAGGTCTTCCGCAGGGACACCACCTCGTCGTAATATGCGGATGATATATAAACGTTTAGAAGCTTTGGATATAACTGATTCTATGTGTGCATTCCATTTAAGATCGTTTTGGATAACCAGACCTAGCACTTTATGAGACCGCACAACCTCAAGCGCATGACCGTCGATCAACAATGGTGATAAATCAGGTGATTCCCTCAGGAAGCAAACGCGTAGTTCTTTGCAGTTTTTGGGGTTAAGTTTCATAAGGTTGCACGAAGCCCAAGAATTTATAGTATCAATACAGAACTGAAACTTTGAATTGCTGCCTTTTGTGATATTTTCAGATGTTGATATGTCATCCACAAATTTCCAAATATCCGTTGCGCGTGGTTTCACATCGAGATCATTTATCATCGCCAAAAACAGAATTGGACCGTCTTTAGTTCCCTGGGGGACACCCGCATTCATTGGCAACCAGTCTGACGTTTTCCCTCATGGCCAAGTTTGACCCGATGACGGCGGTTAGTTAGGAAGTTGATAATCCAAGGCAACAGCGACGGTCTAACACCTAGGTCCAACAGCTTTAATACTAGTAAATTATGTCCTATACGGTCAAACGCCTTTTCGAAGTCAAGGAAACAAAGTCTAAGATGTTTTTCAGGACACTCTAAGTTGCACAACCAAGTGTGGATCATGTCTAAAAGACAATAAGTTGTGGATGCATGTTCCTTTCAAGCATCCAAACTACTTGGGGTCGATCTTGTCTTTAATATCGGTTATCATCCACCCGACCACGAAATCTTCAAGAACATTAGCCAGGCAGGGTGTCAGTGAGATGGGTCTGGTGTCACTTTCACAGGTAGGAGGTTGTGAGTTTGGAACTGGTATGATGTCTAAGTCTTTCCATATTGCAGGGACGATTCCAGATGAAAGTAATTCGTTGAAAATAATTGCAACAGGTTCGGCTAATTCATGGGTAAACTTTTTCAGGATACGACAGGGGACGTTATCTGGGCCGTGAGCTTTAAAAGTTTTAATTTCTAAGAGCTTTTTAGATACTTTGTGTGGTTGAACTGTTGGAGCGGGTTCTTCGGCCGGAAGAAATGCCGGGAGTGTCGCTAAATTAAGTGGTGGAATGTCACTATTCACCGATGCATAGAACACATACAAAACTCCGACTAATTCTGATTGATCCAGGGTTCTTCCATCATGTTCAAGCGAGAAGGAGTTCTTTCCAGATTTTCCTGCCATTTTATTTACGATTTTCCACCACATACGGCAGTCATCCTCCTTTAAATGTTGCACCTTTGTTTTATAGTACGATATTTTCCTCGCATTGATTTCATTTTGGACCTTATATTCCAACGATTTCCACAAGATTGTATTATGACCATGAAAGCCTTTTGTCGATATTTGATAAGCTGTTTTATTGCAGGTGTTATCCATGGTTTATCGGTGTGATGACGTGTTGACGTCTGTTGTGGGAAGATTCGGTCAATACTTTCTGTTAACTGGTTTGTAAACGAGACTGCCAAGCTATCAACAGTAGGGTTTGGTTCATGGTCACAACACCAATTATGTGTGGTAACCCATCTTCCGAAAGCATCTATTCCTGATCTGGGATAGCGCCGTACTAAGGATTTAACAGGTTTTGCTTGGACGTTGTGGCTGGGAATGTTATCGACTGATGGTCAGTGGCGTAGCCAGCCCGACAATTTAGTCCCGCTATGCAAATTCAAAGTTATTATCATTATTCATTTCTTTAGAAATTGATTGTTTTCACAGTCAATGAACATGAAAATATTTGCATAGCGGGACTAAATCGTCGGGCTGGCTACGCTACTGCTAATGGTAGCCAGTGTACAATATTATGGTCACTGGATCCTAATGCAGCAAGGACATTAGGACGGTCATATAAATTATGCAGGTTTGTAAGAATAAGATCGAGTATTGCTGATTCCCTAGTGGGTTGGTCAGAACTTGTTTGAGATTTTGACTGGTGGTCAAACTGCGAGTTTCAAGATCATTAAAATCAACCATAATTACCAGACCAAGGTCAGGGTGGTTATTTCGAAGTAGGTCAATACTGTTAATTAAATGTTTGTTAAGATCATTGTGTTCCGATATTGTCAGACCAGGTGGGTGATACACGACACAGATAACGATACCGGATAGAGGTCTAGGGAGGCGTTTCGGTCGAATGCTCAGCCATAAGCATTCTAAATTCTCACTTTCTAGGTCTACCCGTCGTATAAAGGGGATGTCTTTTGTAATATAAGCACAAACTCCGCCACCTGTACCAATTGCGCGATCTTTACGAAATAAATTGTAATCGTTAATTGACAATAAGCTGCTGTCTATAGCTATGTGTTCATGTAACCATGATTCAGTTTTTGCGATAATGTCAATGGGCTTGAAACTTAGTAGTGCTGTCAATTCGTCCAGCTTTGGAAGAAGTGAGCGGGAATTAAGTAAAAAGAAACATGGGAGTATCATTTCTTTGTTAACCTTATATGCATGGTTTAAAGTTGTAATATGGATTAGGTTGGAGGAGGGAAAATAGCAATTCTTGCGTTTCTTGTGCTGTTTAAACGTTCTAGAACGATCTGTAATATGGACGGAGATGTTCGTTCTATTTTTGGTTTCATTTGATGTCGATATTTTATGTAAGGTTAAAGAGGACTGTGGACTTATTCTATCCGGGATGCATAGGAAAGAGGTTTCGCTATTCAAAAAACGAGGGGTCACATTGGTATAGTCAATAATCTCAGTTGGGTAAAAGTTTAGGTCGTTATCACAATTATCGCTAATTTGTACAGGATCACCATTATCACGGACCCTAATTTCCGCGTGGGATAAGTGACTTCGAGAGGTTATTTGTTCTTCGTTACTTGACGCACAAATTCGAGATAGACTGACCATTCTTTCATTCGGGAACTACGAAAATTCTGATTTACTGAATGTTTGAGACGATTGTGCTTGGGAAAATGTAGTTGAAAACCCCCAGTAAGGTTTCGTGATGGTTGTTGCCGTGTAGCTTGATACTGATTAGGTTTCTTGCAGCTAGTAGTTTTACTAGAATAAGTTCTATTGGAGCGACTACGAGTCTGTGTACATGTGCGAATGGAAGTGCGCGTACTAGACGTATCAATCAAGGGTAAGGAGTTAATCCAGGATGTATTTTGCCGTAAAGATCGCGAGTTGGGTCAAATACTTTTCCTATGCGATTTGACATTCTGACCTTCAGAGGGATTAGGGCCACTTGGGTTATGAATAAACTGGTCACTACTATAAACTTTAGAGATCTCTCCCTCAGGGCTTTTTTCGACTGCAACGAGGCGTTCAAATTAGTATTTACCTCGTGACTAGCTTGTATTTTAGCTGCCATAGGCTGACTAACCCTTTTGTTTTCCTCATTACTATCCTCGGGTTTATTGTCATTCGGTTTTAGACATGCATCCTTCATATTATCACGTACCGGTGCTTCCACCTCAATACGGTCATTATTGATTTGATCACATTCTTTGGTCCGATTCACGAATGGAAGAATTCCGCATTGTTTTGATTTCAAAAGTTTAACTGAATTTATGCGCATTATTGTTTCACTTAAAGATTCATTACTCGCTTCAGTTGACTTGAGTTTATTCTCAAGGCAAACAATAGTATTATTCAAATCATTTATCTCCTGATTTCTTCCCCTGACTAAAATAGCTAAATCGCTTTCGAGTTGCTTACATTTTCTCCTTTCGTTAAAAAGATCTTTTCTAAGATGAATTATTTCATAATTCTCCCGTACGTTGATAGCTGCAGATATTTTTGACTCCATATTTTTATTCATAATAAGCATGTCAAGCTTGACCCCTTTCCAAATTATGACAGGTTAAAAACATGTTTTACATTTCTGTCTGTGGGTAAACATGGTGAGAATGTGAGGATGAGAGGGTCAACAGAAAAAAAGGAAGTGGGCGACATCGCTGTATTAATGCAGAAGACCAGTTTTTATTGCTCTTGACGAAACTTAGAACAGGTTTCTCAAACATTCACCTTGGATGGCTTTTCAACTGTGATAGTAGCACAATTACAAGACTCACAATTAGCTGGCTTAATTATGTCTATCTAAAGTTTTGTACATTACCCATATGGCCATCAAGGAAGACATTCATGCATAAATGCCTGAAGATTTTAAAGAGAAGTTTCCAAATACCAGGGTCATTATTGATTGTACAGAGATAGCGGTAGAATCACCTGAATCACTCCATACAAGAGCTGTTTACTACTCTGATTATAAGCACCATAACACATACAAGGCATTAGTGGGAATTACCCCAGCAGGTGGATTATCTTTCGTGTCTGAACTATTTCCGGGCAGCATTTCAGATCGAGAAATTGTTTCAAAATGTGGTATACTAAACCCAATGTTTTGGGATAAAGATGATGAGATAATGGCTGACAAAAGTTTCACCATCAGGGATCTCCTGGATGAAATTGAATATTCCTATATTCCTGGAGGACAGAGCACAATTTTCTGCACAACAGGTCATCGTTAACCAAAGAATATCGTCACTAAGAATTCATGTCGAGAGATTCATCAGCAGGATAAAAAACTTTCATATCTTCGACCGACCACTGCCATTGACCATGCATGGTTCAGCCAATCAAATTTATACTATATGTTCATTCTTGGTAATGTTCCAGAACCCAATTATTTCAGCTTAACCCATTAAACCATATTATGCTCAAAATAATTCTTGATTGAGTCGGTTTTCTTTCATGTACCAAGGTGATTATTTTTAATAGTCACCTTGAATATTAATTAGCTGAAAAGTTGAAGGAAAACTGGAAAACCTCCTCGATCAAGAATTAAATATGACAAACACCTTGAAAGTTGGGATTTATGTCAGATAATGCCCTCTGACACAAATCCCTCCTCGGTGTTTATCCTATACTGCATATACACCCTACCTTTTTTATTCTTTCTATCTGTTTAATGCCATTTGACTTGTCAATGGAAGAGTCTTGCAGTTTAATGGGTTAATGAATATGGTAGAGCAACATAATTCAATTTGTAATGTTATTCTGAGTGTTATTACACCGGGAAAGCTTCAAAAATATGCCTGGCCACAGTGGTTCGATTCCCACAGTGGTTTGATTCCCACTGTGGTGATTTCCACGTTGGTTCATTTCCCACTGTGGCCAGGCCTATTTTTGAAGCTTGCCCGGTGTGGATATACACTCAGAATAACATCACAAACATCATATTCACCTGAGTACATAACACAAACTCAGAAAAAAATCAAAATTCAATTTTTTGGATAAATAGGTACAGTATGTAAATTTAAACCTTATTTTGAAAGTGTTTACCTGGTAAGAATATGCTTACTTTTGTAAATTCGGACTTACATATTATGCAATGTTTATGCTGGAAAATTGCACTCTTCAAATGGAGGGTGTTAGCCATTAATTATATGAATTTATAAAATACAAAATAATGGACACTTTATAGTTCTTAAGTACTATTTTACTAATGAATCTCGAAGTTGTGACCAGCTTAATTTCACATTTAAATAGTACTATGTCATTAACAAAATTGCAACAGAGTGAGCAACCAGGTGAAATAATTAGTATTTGGATGTATTAAGTAATCCTTGCCTGTTATAGTTGATCACACCATCTTGGCATTTCAGCGGATTACTATATACTCTGTTATGTGGTCTATTGCAATTTTGGTAATATATATTTAAAGTACCTTGGTCCAACTACATCTATTACATTTGCCCAAAATTGGGCATCAAAAGTAATTCTAATAATACTAATACTCTGAAAAGTATAGACAATTAGATCACAAATTTTGATCCAGTCAAAGCTAACTGATATTGAACTTGATAATAAGTTGGGTGTGTCTTTCGTAACTGCTGCTTACCGTTTACAACAAACAACATGAAATTGTCATTACTAGATGCAACATAAAAAACATCAGAATGTTTATGCTGTTCTGGACATTTGCATTCAGCAATACCAAATTCATCTCCTGAAACAACTTTTGCATCTGGGCTACTGCCTAACCAACAATTATTTTCATTGATTACCAGCCCACAAGGATACACGTCAGTGTCAGAACCATAATCATTCATACACAGCTGGTACTTTTCCAGTGCCACAGACTCATACATCTTGCCATGATCAAACTTCTTTTGAAGAATGTCAGGACTTTTTCTTTCTGAGTCGCTATTTGCAAATTTTTGACCATGTCTCTCCATCCCTCTCTTCCACTGAAACACGTCATGAACTCTTGAAGCAGTCACTCTCAATTTTCGTTCTTCAAACCACAGTCTATTTTGCGATTGTGACCGAGTTGCTTGTTCTAAAACAGCTGCCTGTTCATCAGTGATGTGGATTTTATCCAGCACTGCTTGCTGAGTAGAGCCCAAAGTTGAAATGTCATGATTGTAATATTGAGGAATACTTCGGGGAGGAAAGTCAGGGTAAGAGATGTTAGTAGTGGCTGCATTTGATTGAGATTTGTTGTCAATATTAAAGTACACATTAAAATTATTGCCCAACTTACTGCACTGATATGCCAAAGGAGAGAATATGGGGACTTTTCTAAATTTTGTGTCACAACACTCATCTGAAGAAACAGAACTATGCAAACCATTTACTAAAGGAATCTTTGGATTTGTCTTTTTCAGATTTTCTTTTAATTCAAAAACTGCTTTTGCATCAAACATTTGTTGATCTAGAGATCTTGCTTCATATAGGTTGCACTTCACCCACTGAGCTATACTATATTACTGGAGGACCTGCTCGCGGAAAAAAAGTGTCGCCAAAAACATGGCGGATCTTATGCCATTTCCATGACAACACTTCCGAAATTTTCATGGTAGCTGCCACTGACCAACCGCGATCCTAAGCTTTCGACGATGTCCTTAACCCCCCTGGTTTTTGCAAGATATTTACGTACTGCTCAAATTAAATTTTCCCGCCGTTTGGCTTTTGCTTGTTTATCGTCATCAAACGCTTAAACAGCTCGCAAAAATGCCTCGTTTTTGCTCTTTTTTTGGTTGCCGTAATAGTGATAATTATACCTTTTCAAGGAAAAATATCTCTTCTCACAGGTAAGAATTCGTGAAACGTTTTCTGTGTGCTTTGCTTTTTTATAAAATACAGTTCTTTATATAATTAAAAACCGACGTATGGGACAAGATACAAAACCAAAATTTACCGCTGAATTTCACTATTTAATACTTAAAATAGATGTAAACAGCTGATAATTATTATAATTTGATCACGCTCGTTTATAGGCTAGTGTGTTTATTTTTCAAACTAACGTTATTTTCAGTTTATGTAGTATTTTACTTTGTACATTTTTACCCTGCAAGAATTTTTTTAAAAACAAAAATGGCGTTTAAAATACTTTTTATATGCAAAGCCATAATATTATGACTGTTTATATGACATTTCAGCAATATCACCAATACGGCTATTGAATGTTATTATTTTCACAAATGAATTTCTCTTTTAATAATGACACATTTTTGAGCAATTGTTTGAGCTTGTATCAACAATTTTACAATGAATGCATTTTAATTTTGCAGCTTCCCAGATCCAAAAACAAGTACTGAGATGTACACCAAATGGCTTGAAAATGTCAATAAAAATGCACTGGTTAAATTCGTTCCGACAGGGGGAAGTCGTATTTGTTCAGAACATTTTAGCTCTGACATGAAGGAAGAGGGTGGACAAAGAGTAATACTGAAGCCATTTGCTGTTCCAACAATATTTCCTACTTCTCAGGTTTGTGTCTTTGACAGTTTTCTCTATCATTTTGCTCATTTAGTCTTGAAAAGTTTAACATGTTTGTGCCCAGAACATTTCTTTAACATACTTAAATTGGGTTATTAAGTTCCTGTTTATAAATATTTGCATGCACACCCCTATCAAGGACACAACAATATGAGGAAATGCAAACATATCTTTGAGGAATTCCAAGCACAAACACCAAGGGTAAAGGCCGTTTTCCACTAGGCGAATTTGTTCGCGCGACGCGAAGCGAAAACCGAAATCCGGCAACGTGATTGGTCGGCGAAAAAATTCGCGGCGAAAAAGTAGGATCGCTTCCTACTTTTTATCTGTTCGCGCGAACAAATTCGCCTAGTGGAAAACGGGCTTAAGGCTGAAGCATAAAAACGTAATAGTAGCAAAAGCATAAAAGAGTAAAAGGTATAAAGTGGGGTGTACTATGCACATATCACCCCCGGTGCGAAACGAGGGTGAATTTACTATTTTATCAGTGTATTCTGCCCGTGAACCCTGGGGAAATTACAAACTTTGCAATAATGAGACGGACGGGGGGAGGGGAAGTAGGGAACTTTGACGTGACAATTTGAATTTTATAAATGAAGTGCACAATTGGTGTCAACTCAAAATCGCAGGCTCACAGAGAAAAATATCGATCGCCAACTTATTATTTATGATATTTTGTAGTGTTGTTGCTAACTAAAATTTGAATAAATAAATACAGAATACATGAGTGCCATTGTGATACCCCAGTTTGTATGATCATTTTTAATTGTTTGTATGCTATTTATATTATGAGCTGATTTATTCTATTATTAGCCACAGGGGGAGGGCAGTTTGACTTACACATTTCCCGGGGGGAGGGGGAATTAATGCATTAGAATCATGTTTTTTCAAAGTCCCGGGGGTGTACCCCCACGACAGGCCGTTGATATGTGCATTATGATGCAATGGGTCATTCCAGGAAACATCCATACACCTCCCCCAAGGAGGATATCTAATGCCCCTGCCAACCCCTAACCATTTGGAGTGTCCTAATACATCTTATTTATCCAAAAACACAATGGTCTCCGGCCAGATAGCAATAACTTTCTACTTGGGGGGGGGGGTGGAATGGAATGGTTTCGCAGAAAAAGTGTGGAGTATTTGATGAAAGAAAAACAGGGAGATAAATTGAAAATACAATAACACACCCAGTCAGTGGCAGATGCTGGGGGGGAGGGGGACTCCACCCCCAACCAATAATTTGTGGAAGCCTTTGAATTATACCTGGATTTATTCAGAATGATAGCTGAACTTAATTTGTAACAAAGTTATTTATTTAGCTATAACATAATTATTCAACATGAAAGCAAATTGGCCAGCTACAAATCTTACAAGCTATATAGCTATAGCTAGCTAGCTAGCACGTAAGGTAATGGATGTTATTCGCAACTTGATTATTCACCCCCCTCCAAATATTTTTGCAATCTGAGTATAAAAAAGCATCCGGACTAAATTAAAATGTATAATCCTGTTATATAATCATGATCAAAATTTTTGTCAATTATAAGTCAGCCAAGGCATTTTTGTCATTTTTTTCAGAGCACTCATATTGTGCTCGGTGGCTGTCACTTATAGGGAAGGTGAAAGAAAGGGCAATATAACAAATTTCCCCCACCTAATTATGTGTAAAAACTTTTGAAAGGTGAATATATAACTGTGTCAAAAAGCTGTTACAACAATTTTGTAAGAACGAAAGCACTGGTAGGCCAGTTAAAAAATGCCAGTTACAGCAACATATTTGGCATTATGCAATTGACCATTTTCCTCACATCCATGATTGATTGCCATTGAATAACATGAGTTGTTTGTTGTCATAATCGGCAAGAAATATCATGTGATGAAATATTATGAGTTTAAATGTACAAAATTTGTATTTATATTGACCTTTGGATTTGATTCAATATATAATTTTGTATACATGGTATATATCTGTCATTGTGCCTATTAATGCTAGTCAACTGTCTACCAATCTAATACGTCTCATCTGCAATGCACCCAAATGTGACAGCAGACTTCATAATTTTATTAGCATCAATTTTACACTATATCAGATTTTACTTGGACATAAATGGGACTCTCTGTATCTCTCATCTTAGGTTGCAAATTTTCCCACTATACTATACACGTTGGTTAACCCATTAATACATGCACAAGACTCGTCCCTTGAGTTGACTAATAATATTGTCTGGCATTGGACTGCATAAAATAAAAAAGTTGGGCGCATCACAGCTAAGCGTTTTTTATTATTCATGCATGCATAACAATAGGGAAATACATGTTGATTATTCTCCCTTAGGTAATGAAGAATGAAGAGGCCAGTGCTAAGAAACTCTCAAGTCATGATGCTGTAGAAGCAGAAAAATGTAATGGTATGTCAGACAAAAAAAAATAGTTTAGTAGAAACAGTATTGATAAATGAAAATAGTGTAAGTGATGAAGCATTGAGTTTGCAGGTGGTAAATGAAGAGATCATTACGATGGATAGTGCGAGTATGCAGGAGGTGATTGAAAAGGTAACTATCGAAGACAACGTAAGTATACCAGGAGGCAAGAGAAAACATTTGGATGAAACAGAGATTGAGGTAAGCGCATCTCAAAAAAGGGCGCGAACGACCAGTTCTGATGAAAACAATGTACATGATCACCCGTATTGTATAAAATCTCCTCGTAGAGTGAGAAGGCAGGTTGATGATCTTATAGATAAAGTTGAAAATCTGCAGAAGAGATTGAAGACATCTCAGAAGAAAACCAATAGAAGAGATAAAAAGGTTAGCACGTTGACTGCAGTGGTAAGTGAATTGAGAGAAAAAAATCTAATCAATAGTGATTGTGCGACTATTCTAGAATCAACTTTTTCCGGAGTTCCAAAGGAACTTATGAAGAGGTTGGTGACACAAAAGAAAAAGAAAAATCTCGGGGCATATCCACCTGAGCTAAGGTCATTTGCTCTGACCTTGAAATTTTATTCGACTAAAGCGTATAATTATGTGTGAAAAAGTTTTGATTTAGGGCTGCCACATGTAAACGTGATTCGGTCATGGTATAGTTCCATGAATGGCGAGCCAGCTTTTACAAAGGATGCGCTGACAGCTCTGAAAGCCAAAGTTATAGCCGCAAAAAGAGATAACCAAGAAGTTGTTTGTGCACTAATGCTCGATGAGATGGCCATACGCAAGCATGTCGAATGGGATGGTAAGCAGTCCCGTGGTTATGTTGATCTTGGCACAGGCATCAATGATGACTCGCTGCCCGAAGCAACAGATGCTCTTGTTTTTATGGCAGTCTCGGTGAACTCCGGTTGGAAAGTACCATGTGGGTATTTTCTAGTGAACGGTCTTACTGGACAGGAGAAAGCCAACTTGACCAAAGAATGCATAACCAAGTTGCACGAAGTAGGGGTGAAGGTGGTGTCTTTTACGTGCGATGGCCCTATAGTAATGACGTCATGTCATTCACTCGGCACCAGGACTATACGGTCGGAACTAATTAAAATATATATATATATATATAGGACACGTTGTGTAGAAGGAACACACACACACACTAAAACACCAATAAGAACTATATCGTTATGTTATACTAAATATATTCTATAGCACAAATATATACCTAGTACTTAGATATTACATTGGCGACGAGGAGTAAATTTTATGGAACAAACACCTAACAATCTAACAACAGTCAGCATGGCACATTCAGTACCTATTCGCCCAATGCCCGAGTTTAATCCCGACACTGAACTTGGCGCGAGCGTCGCTACACGTTGGAAAAATTGGGTCGCAGACTTTGACATGTTTCTCCTGGCTAGTGGCGTTACAGATCCTAAACGACAACGAGCTTTGTTGCTATACCAAGCTGGCGCAAGAGTGCGCGAAATCTTTAAACAACTGCCTGACACTGGCGAAGACAAAGACTATGATATTGCCAAAGCGAAATTACTTGCCCATTTCGAACCGCAGAAAAACAGACGCTACGAGGTGTATCGATTTCGAAAGGCTGTGCAAGAACCAAGGGAAACTCTCGATCAGTTCCACACCCGGCTTCGAACTTTAGCCCAAACTTGCGAGTTCGCATCGCCAGATTTCGAACTCGAAGAACAAATAATTATTGGAGGGGCCTCTTCGAAAATCCGCAAGAGTGCGTTGCGTGATCCAAGTTTTAATCTAGCTGCCATGCTCTTAGAAGGCCGCCGAGACGAACAGAGCACTTCCCAAGCTAAAGACATCGAATCGACATCGCCCGACATCGCAACGAGCACCTTTGACGAAATTGACGCTCTCTACAGACCGACGGGATGTCGCAATTGTGGTGGATCTTTTCCTCACAAAGGTCTTTGCCCCGCGAAAGGCAAACAGTGTCGAAAGTGTGGCAAACTTAACCATTTTCAAAGCGTTTGTCGAAGCAGACCTATTGCACAACCAAGTGGCAGTATCGCACAGGAAGACTCCACTTAGAATTACCATAGCAACGCCACACAAAACCTGATACGACCCCTCGAGCGTTACAACACCGGTGACTCAGACGACGATTATATCTACGGAATTCACAGCCTCGATAAAAGCCCTCGAGTTAACGTTGAACATTGAACATTGAACATTTATTTAAACACGGTAAAATCTTCAGTGTAGAATAAAATACAAAAACTATTAATAAATTTCACACATCACTAAATACACACTAATTTCCTAACTAAAATGCACTGTTTTCCAAGATTGCCGTGTGGGGATCCCATTATAATGTCAAGAATTGATTAATTTCATTTTTGAAATGCCTCAATGATTTGGACGTACGTGCAGTTTGAGGAAGCGCATTCCATAAACTTGCTCCACTGTAGCAGAAACTACGCTTCATAAAGTCCGTACGTGGTTTTGGTAAATTTAGCTTCATTTCTGCATTTCTTAAGTTATAATCTGTGCTGCGAAATGTAAACATGTTTTGTAAATACTCTGACGTTAGCTTATTGATAGTTTTAAACATTAGTATAGACTTGTGCTTTTTCCTACGTAAGGAAAGATTGTCCCAATGCAGTTTCTCTAAGAGAATGCTAGAGCTGACATCGTAGTTGGATTTCGTAATCACTCTAGCAGCTCTATTCTGCAATTTTTGCATTTTTTTACATAATGTTGCGCCAAATTCGTCCCAAATGGGACTACAGTAATCAAAGTGAGGTTGAATTATAGCGTTGTAAATTTGGATTGCTGTTTCAGTTGATATAAATCGTTTTATTCGCTTAAGAGCACCTATAGCGGAAGAAATCTTTTTACACTTCATATCAATATGTTTAGACCAAGACAGATTTTTATCAATAATTACACCTAGTGATTTTGCCTCATCAACTTGTTTAATCACATGACCATCCAGGTCAATATTGATATTTTCGTTAGTGTGCGCATGCATACGTTGTCGAGATCCTATTATCATAAATTTTGTCTTGGCGATATTAAGGCTTAATTTGTTCGCTTCCAACCAGCTTTTCAATTTTTTTAATTCCGAATTAATAACATTTTCTAGTTCGGCGATAGTGTTGGCCGCATAACTAATGTTCGTATCATCAGCAAACATTCTCGGTACTGCTGCACTGAGACAATTAGGAAGGTCGTTAATATACACAAGGAAGAGTAATGGTCCTAAGTTACTTCCCTGTGGTACACCACGTGTAACTGATGCAGATGATGACAAGCAACCTCTAACATTACATTTCTGAGATCGACCGGTCAAATAAGACTGAAACCATTCGAGACTTAATTGATCCATACCGTAAATTCGAAGCTTCCGCAGTAATATCTGATAATCAATAGTATCGAATGCTTTTTTAAGGTCGATAAATATTACTCCATTGAAGAGGCCATTGTCAATATTAACTGACCAGTTACTAGTGGCTTCAAGAAGAGCAGTAAGTGTACTATGTAACGACCTGAAACCGGCCTGGCAATGCGTTAACAAGCTGTTAGAACTGAAGTAATTATAAAGTTGCTCAAAGATTAATTTTTCGAAGATTTTGGCTACAGCTGAAATAATTGATATTGGTCGATAGTTATTCGGATCATTCCTTTTTCCTTTCTTAAATATTGGTGTTACTCTAGCCATTTTCCACTCGGATGGAAATATGCCAGTGTTAATTGATCTGGCAAATATATCAGTTAATGATGGTGAAATTATTGCAGCTGCTATTTTTAACAGCTTATTAGGAATGTTGTCGAGACCTGGAGCTTTTCGTTCGTTAATTTTACTCAACAGAATATAAACCATATCAACCGTAGGAGGTCTAATGGAAAATCTCTGCTCAGTTGATTCTAAATAGTCTTCAGGGTTGACGTTAGAAATGGGTATCTCTGAGGCTAGATTTCTCACCAATATTTGAGAAGTGATTGTTAAAAGCTTCAGCTATATTTGCAGGTGTATTTATTGTTTTTCCGTCTACTTTAATCTCGTTAATGTTACTTAACTTATTACAATTACGCGAGCTTAGTTCGTTAATTAATTTCCATGTTTTTCTTGGATTTGTTTTAGCAGTTTCCAAATTCGTTATAAAATACTCTTGCTTTGCTTTTCTAATTTCGTTATTGGTACGATTTCGAGCAACCCTATATTCTTCTCATAAAGTTTGATCATCGGCCAATGTTGCTTTCCTCTTCAGATAATCTCGTTTATGCATATGTCGTAACAATTGGCTTGTTATCCACGGCGATTTTTTTTGCCTGCTCTTTTGGAGCGAGATGGTGCGTGCTTGTCAATACACTCCATTAATAAACTTTTCCACGTGTCCCACATATCATTAGGATCAGTATTTGTGTTAACATCACACCACGGCTTTTGTTCCAAGTCTCTAAGAAAATTATCTCTATTGAAATTCTTTAAACAACGAGTTTTTATTGTGCGCGTCCCGGTACGTTCTATATTAGTTTTATAAGTCATAAACACAAGTGAATGATCGCTAATAGATATGTGGTTAACGCCGAATTTTATTATTATTGATGGTACATTTGTGAAACATAGATCAATCAAGGTTTGAGAACAATTAGTAATTCTTGTAGGTTCGTTTATTAGCTGATCCATACCATAAATATCTAGTATGGAATTCAGTTTTACAGCATTGGCCGAGATCGGTTCATGCATAAGATCTATGTTAATGTCACCTAATATACACATCTTTTGATTTTCTGAGTCCAGCTTTCCAATAATATTTTCAAAATCATCTAGATAACTAATTGGAGAGTTTGGTGGTCTATACCATGTGCCAAGAATCAACGATTTTGACCGTGGTTTGGTAATTTCTATTATAAGACATTCTAAATTTTCGTAATTCAAGTTATCTCGCGTTATATAATTAATATTGGATCGCACAAAAATACAGACACCTCCACCGTTTCGACCATTAATTTTTCGATCTTTCCTAATTATCTCATATCCAGGGATATGGATTTCACTATTCTCAATCGTTGAATCTAATTTAGTTTCGTTAATTGCAAGCACATCTATTTTATCATTATTCATATACACCCTAAGTTCGTCAATGTGAGCTAAAAGGCTATTTATATTTAACGAGGCCATCACTAAGCCACGTCCATAGACGTTATGACCCAGGGGCGTAGGAAGCGGGGGGGCACGGGGGGCACGTGCCCCCCAAATTTTTTTAAAGGACTAAAAGTGCCCTTTTTGTGTTGAAAAGTGCCCTTTTTTGTGAGGAAATGTGCCCCTTTTGTAGAAGCTAATGTCGCTGTAAATACTAAATTAAAACAATAGGTGCCGTTTTTGTGTGGAAATTTACAATTTTTTTTTTAAAAATTAGGTCACAAACATAAATTTCGGTATGATACGACGGAAAATTTTCCTCAGGAGAAATTTCTCCCCCCTCCCCCCCGTCGACAACATTTCCGGGAAAAATTTTTTAGGTGCCCTTTCCGATAGTAATGTGCCCCTACAAGCCGGTGCCCCCCCCCCAAACTCCAGGTGCTTCCTACGCCCCTGTTATGACCGATAGTTAAAGGTGTATCTTCAGTTTTATCATTATTATCATCTGGCAGCACAGAGATTAGGGATTCCCATCCGGCAATATTTCAATTATTATTATGATTTATGATATTTAAAAAATTACGAGCTAATTGAGTAGTTCCGTCTCTATTCAAATGCAGACCACTTCGATTTAAATGTTTTTGTGTAATATTTGAGTGGTCTATTAGTGTCCAATTGTGTTGTCGACATAACTTACTTAACGCTAAGTTCACTTCATCAATTTGTTTCCCAAGTCTACTATCATCTGATCTGAATATTAAACTTGATATAATTACCTCCGTTTCCTTTCCATCTGTCTGTTCCACCGATTTAGCTAATTCAACAATTTCCTCTGCACAGGATGTGGGGCTTTCAGATTCTCGTAGACTGTTTGTACCTACGTGTATAATTACTTGGTCGGGTTTCTTTCTCAGAACAGGTTTAATGTAGTCATACATATCTCTAGTGGTACTACCAGGAAATGTAGATATTTTGACTTTGTTTTCTTTGGACATCCTGTAACCCTTCAGGTTCTTCAACATTGAATCTCCGACAATAGTTACTTTGCGAGATGAGTGTCCAGACTTTTGATTCTTACGATCGCCATTATGCCGTTTACCACCTTGCTTTCCATTCAGACCCCTATTTGGGGTTTGTTTGGAAAGAGAACTAGAGGTGGATGTTTGTTGTGGAGACCTGACGTGTTGAGCGGATTGATCATCATTACTGTCTAGTTGGGAATGATCGCTGGGGTCGTGAGTCGATTGTGTATTTCTTGCTTGTGAGCTCTTGTGATTGTGTTCCTGTTCCGGTTCACAACAGCTATTGTTTCCATCCTCGTTAATTAATAATTCAAATCTGTTTGCGGTGCCAATGTCAGTTCTTGTTAATTGCTTAGTTTGCTTGTCATGATACACACCATTGTTATTAGTATTATGCACTTTCTGCCAAACATTATCGTTTTTTCTAGCAGCGGTTTCAGCTACCTCATTCTGACTTGTATGATGATGACAGTATTTGTCCTGGGCAATAAGCCTAGTAGCTAATTGTAGGGAATCTCTTTCTTGACTTGTCTCAAGCAATTTCTGTTCGAG